TCCAGGTCTTTATCTCCCTCATTCATAAGATAAAAGACTTGTAGTAAGTCACCTCAACAGTCCTTCCAGTTCTTTTTTTTTTCTAAATATTTATTTTTATTGATTTCAGAGAGAGGGAGGGAGAGAGAGAGAGAGAGAGAGAGAGAGAGAGAGAGAGAGAGAGAGAATCATTGATCGGCTGCCTCCTCCATGCCCCTTACTGGGGATGGATCCCACAACCTGGGCATGTGCCCTGACCGGGAATCGAACAATCGAACCGTGACCTCCTGGTTCATGAGTCAATGCTCAACCACTAAGCCACGCCAGTTGGGCTAAAGGTCTTTACAGTGCTGAGCAGAGGCCTGGTCTGAGATCATCCTTCTTGTAAGAGAGGTAGAATTCAGAGAAGTCGGCTGTTTCTTTCTTGGGTTATTTATGTATTTATTTGTCTCTAGGTTGCTGCTTGGGAATTTCTCATGTTTTCCCAAATTTCACAGACCAAAGGAAGGCCTACCAAATTGAAAGAAAAGAGAACCATTACATTGTTATCACTCCAGCTATTGGTAGATCGATTTTTTAAAAATATATTTTTATGGATTTCAGAGAGGAAGAGAAAGGGAGGGAGAGGTAGAAACATCAATGATGAAAGAGAATCACTGATCAGCTGCCTCCTGCACGCCCCCTACTGGGGATCAAACCTGCAACCCGGACATGTGCCCTTGACTGGAATCGAAACCAGGACCCTTCAGTCCATAGGCCAACGCTCTATCCACTGAGCCAAACCATCTAGGGCAGTAGATTGATCTTAACAGGAGTTGCCGGTCACTGACTATGTTGGTTTTCTATTGCCATGTAACCAATTACCACAAACTTAGCAGCTTACAACAGCACAGATTTATCACCTCACAGTTTCCATGGGATGGGGTCCAGCACTGCCTGCCTGGTCCTCTGCTCAGAGCCTCACAAGCTGCTGTCAAGGTGTTGACTGGGGCTGGAGTCCCATCTGAGGCCTGGGGTCCTCCTCCAAGCTTTGTGGTTGTTGGCAGAGCTCACTTCCTTGCAGCTGTAGGACTCATGGTGGCTTGCTGCTGCTTCGGAGCCAGCAGGATAATCATTCTCCTACACTGAGCTCAGAAAAGGCCTTAGCCCACTCTAAATGGCTCACCTGATTAGGTCAGGCCCACCCAGGCTAATCTCCCCGTTGATGAACTCAAAATCATCTGATTTGGGACCTTCATGACATCAGTAAAGTTCCGTCACCCTTGCCATGTAATGGAACCCAGGCATGGGAGTGTTCTGCCTACACTCAAGGAGAGGGGAGTACAGAGCACCTGACTAACGGAGTGGGATCTTGGGGTTCATGCTGCTTACGCCACAGAACGTTTTTCTCAACTGAACTTGTTATCTGTCTTCCTTTGCCCCCATAATGTTATAATCACAGTCACTGGCTACCATGTAAAACAATGCCCTGAGGGCCTTGAGACAGTTCCCTAAGACATGTCTGTGTCCTGTTCTTTCTCCATCCAGACGTTGTCAGGATTGCCAGACCAAGATACCTTCTACGACGTGGTGGACTGCCTGGAGGAGCTGGGCATTGCGGCCGTGTCCCAGCGGCACTTGAACAAGAAAGGGACTGACCTGGACTTAGTGGAGCAGTTGAACATTTATGAGGTAACAGCACATGCCTTTTGTAAGGCATCTCCCAGCTTGGACAAATGTCAGAGGCCAAGGTCAACATACTCTAGACCTGTGTTTCCAAGTGTGTTGCAGCAGCGCTTTTCCCAGTGCAAGTTCTCAGGCCCAGGCCCAGGCCTGCTGAATCAGAAACTCTGTGGGCGGGCCCAGCAGTCTGTCTGCACAAGCCTCCTGGTGATTGTGAAGCACGCTCAAGTGGGAGAAGCGCTGATCTAGCAGAAACTTGGTAACTTGCTTCCTTGCCTATTTATTTATTTATTTATTGCTATTTTAAGTTAAAGAACATGCATCCTACCAGAAGTACTTTCATTCAGGCTGAGGAAGAGAGAGAGAGAGAGAGAGAGAGAGAGAGAGAGAGAGAGAGAGAGAGAGAGAGAGAGAGAGAGAAAGAGAGAAGACAGGTCATATTTCTTACACTGAGTAGGGGTTTAACTTCAGGCAGGGCCTACTACATAATTTGTAGGGCAAAATAAAAATGAAAGGGGGAATACTACTGTTAAAAATACTAAACATCTTTTTACTTTCTTCCCTGGTCCTTCTCTCGTTGTTATGGGGTCTTTTTATTTGCTGTTAATGTCATTGTAAGGACAGAAAAGTTAACATTTTAAAGTATCAGCAGGAGTTTTACTGTTCATTAATATTGTGCACTGCCCGTTGAAAATGCAATTATAAGAGCATCTAGCCTGTGTGCAGAATCAGCAGAATGTGGAGTCTGCCCCTCTGCATGCACAGGTATTTTGTTCTTACCGGAAAAGGGAAGAACTGTGAAAACTAGCTCAGCTATTTTTATTTCATTTCTTCGTATGTGTTCATTCTGTCAACACTCTATCTTCAATTCACTGATGACTAAGGAAGGCTAAAAGGAAAACGAACTGTGAGCTATGGGCTGTCCTATCTTCTCATTTTTTATATGTTATCATTTCAGCATAAGTGGTTGGCTAATATGGGAAAGTAACACTGTTGAGAAAGGGTAGGATAGAACCTTTGCATTACCATCTCTCTCATTTAAAGCAAGTTCTGGTTTTAATGGAAAGCATGGCCTCTGGGGCTGACAGTGACTCTGCTTAGCCAGTCAGAGGTGTGACCCACTCACCTTGTACTCACTTGTCGTCTCACTGAACGCTCACATATCAGGGTCTACTGGAACTCTATGCTCATGGGCGTGTGGAATGGCAGACATGCATATTGCGCCTAATTCCTCCAGCATGCACCTGCTCCATCGTCCTACTGGACTTCACTTACAAAACCAAATTTAAAGTTAAAATTACTAAGAATTTCAAGATGGTGAAAGCAGAGCCCTTGGAGTCCTGTACACATGCCTATGAAGCAGGCCCTGCTTTGGGTTGTGCATCATAGCTTAATGGCCTGTTGACTTGAGCTCTAATTGCTCCCAGTGGGCCAAATGCCCCCCTGTTATTCAAGTTATTGATCTGATGTGACTATTGTCTGGACTCTAAATGAAGGTTGGAGCACATTTTGTGAGGAGCAAATTACATTCCTTGTTGCTAAGCCTCCTCATCCCAGTTTCCTTCCATGGCCAGTGGGGGGCAGAATCTGGAGACATGTTTCCTCTTGGGTGGTGTGAAATCTGAAGGCCTGAGACCCAGGAGAGCCAGTGATGTAAGTTCCACTTGGAGTGCAGAGGCAGGAGGAAATCAATGTCCCAGCTTAAAACCCCTGGGCAGAAAAAGCGAATTCTCTCTTGCTCAGCCTGTGTTCCCCTCAGGCTTTCACTGGCCTGAAAGAGGCCCCCCATGCCAGGGAGGGCAGTCGTTTTACTCCGTTTAAGCAATTTGAATGTTAATCTCATCGAGAACCCCCCTGCATAGACCTATCCAGAACATTGTTTGACCAAATATCTGGGCATCCTGTGACCCAGTCAACTTGATACACACAATTAACTACTCTAGGCCCCGGGACACAGCAGCCACCTAGTCAGTCAAGGCCACTGTCCTAAAGGAGCACTTATTCTAATGGGGTGCAGACAGTGACCAAGTACATGAATAAACTGAGAATCTGAGATTGTGAGCATGAAGAAAAGAGGATGAGGTGGGGTGAGAAACTGAGGTGTGGATGAGGAAGGCCCATTTGAGATGACAGCCTAAAGAGACAGTGTCGTAGAGAAGGGCACTGGAGGAGAATCCAGCTTGGCAGGTGTGAAGAGTCTAAAGGAGACTGGTGTGACTGGAGGGTAAGGCCTGGGAGAGCAGCAAAAGCAGAGGCTGGCGAGGTTGGCATCCTGCAGGTGCTACATCCCATGGGGCCTTCTCTGCTCTCTCTTTCTTCCTAACTCCCTGCAGCTGAAAACAAGGTGATCCCCCTGAGAGTCATATCTCACTATGTCATTTCTGTTGAAGAAAACAAACAATAGTGAGTGAATGAATGGATATGTGAGTGAATGAATGAAACCCTTTTTCATGGCCAGCAGGACATAGCCTAAACTGCTTGAGTTAGTACAAGGGCCTACACAGTCTGTGGCCGCAGACCCATGTGGCCTTTCCTTTTGCCATTCCTAAGATGTCTGAAGTTGCAGCCATGTTCAATATCTCCTCTTTCTCGAATGTGAAGACAGGTCTTTGGAGACCTTCTCTTGACCCATTCTCTTTTCTGCACCTGGAGTATTCTTCCTTCCAGTTCTCAAGTTAGCAAACGCGTACTCCTCCTGTGGGAGTCACCTCAGGTGTCTTGCATCCACGGGGTTTCCTTGGCAAGGTAAAAGGGGTCCCTGCTGCTTGTCCCCTACACATTGTTTCTAACCCAGGGAAGAGCACTTGCTTATGTTCACACCCTGGACTGAACAGTCCTCAGGATGTACCAGTACTTGCTTGTCTGTTTCCCTTTGAGCTACTCTACGTCAGATGTCTCATTCCTCTCTCTAGCTCCAGTACACAGCAGCACACTTGCCCAGAGTAGAAGTTCAGTAAGTGCTCAAATGTCTCTTTTAATATCACATGTCTTATGACAAGGTGTTTGTCAGATGCTGGGTTGAAGGAAGGGCATGATTTAATCAGAAAGCAGCTAACCTTAGAGGGAAGATGCCCTGAATACTAACTCAAGGTGACAACTGAGTGCTGTATATACCAGGCGAAGCCAGGATTTTTATTTTGTTCTGAAAGCTAATGCAGTTTTAAAAAAATATATTTATTGCCTCAGGACAACTACATTTAATATACACAGGGCAGCAAGGAGGCCTGTAAGCACAGCCAATATTTTCCTCTATGAATGTTTGTAAGCAATTAAAGAAAACTTGGTTGGGCTTCTAGAATTCTTCCTAATAGTGGAAGATATCTGGTGACCATATGTCCTGGACGTTCTGGGGACAGGCCCAATTCCATGTAATTTAATTCCATTTCAGAAAGGTGATTTAATCGATGTTTCATTCATTTGAATTTTTATAGCTTTATATAACTTTACAAATACGTAAATTCACAAATCAAAATAAAAAGAAATCTTTTGTCAGATTATGTGTTCTAACTTTCAATTCTCAAAATGCAGTCCTAGTAATGGGAAAGGCATCTTAAGGCTGGAGACTTTGGGGGTGAGGGGTAAATGGTACTTTTAGAAATAATTGACTATTAGGTTAATCTCTTAAGATCTTTCTTTGTTGTAGGTGATAAAAAATGTCTATCAGTTAGCTCTTGGGCATAACAAATATGCCAAAAACTTCATAGCCCGAAACAGCAAGTGTTGTTTATGATTCTGTTGGTCAGAAATTCAGACCTGGTCCAACTGAGAGATTCTCATGCAACTGCAGTCATCTGATGGCTGGACTGGGGTTAAGGGTCTATGGCAGCCGTGGGCAAACTACGGCCCGTGGGCCAGATCCGGCCCGTTTGAAATGAATAAAACTAAAAAAAAAAAAAAGACCGTACCCTTTTATGTAATGATGTTTACTTTGAATTTATATTAGTTCACACAAACACTCCATCCATGCTTTTGTTCCGGCCCTCCGGTCCAGTTTAAGAACCCATTGTAGCCCTCGAGTCAAAAAGTTTGCCCACCCCTGGTCTATGGCCTGATGAACCTGGTTTGGCATTTGATGCTGGCTGTTGGCTGGGCCAGGCTAGCCTATACCTCTTCATATGATAGCAGCATTTTAGAAGGGCAAGTCCCAAAACACCAATACTTTTCAAGCCTCTGTTTGCATCGCATTTGCTGATGTCCCATTGGCCAAAGGAAGTCACGTGGATAATCCTGGACTCAGTGTAGGAGGGGGCTACACAAGGTTAAGGGAAGTGCTATTCTCTGGGAGCCTAGCACTGTTATGGTCTGCCACAACCTGTCAGTAGCTTAGTTCCTTTTTGTTTTTCTTTTTAATCTATTTTTATTGATTTCAGAGAAGAAGGGACAGGGAGAGATAGAAAAATCAATGATGAGAGAGAATCATTCATCAGCTGCCTCCTGCATGCCCCCTACTGGGGATTGAGCCTGCAACCCCCGTGTGTGCCCTTGACCAGAATCACACCCGGGGACCCTTCATTCCGCAGGCTGATGCTCTATCCATTGAGCCAAACCAGCCAGGGCATTTAGTTCCTTTGAAATTGTACCAGGATTGGCATCAACTTCACTTAAAAGTTCAATTAAGTTGTGTGCATATGAATTAAAACGAAGATGTGGAATAGCAATATGGAAAAGGCTTGCATCTGTTATATAAAGATGGCTGCCAGTCATGGATGTTAGTAGTAGTGTAACAATATCAACTCAAAGAAATGCTAATAGCTTTTGGCCTCCATCTGGAATGTTGAGCTTGTTAGATATTAAGAAATTATTTTAAAAGAATAGTGGTTATGGTTTTTAGAAATCCTAATCTTTTGGTTATTATATGGAAATGTTTACAAATGAAATGATATAATCTTGGATTTACCTCTAAAGAAAAACTGGCTGTGTAGGGTTGGGGCCCATAGGGAATGGGGTGTAAATGAGACAAGATTGGCCAGAAGTTGATCACAGGTGATGAGCATATCACAGTCTTTATACTCTTCAGCATACTTAGTGTGCTTTTGAACATTTCCACAATAAAACATTAGAAAGAATGCTCAGGTCATTCGGTAGCCTCAAGGGCTGGTGAGAGTTGTCGCAGATGCCACCTTGAACTGCTCCTACCTGCTTTCTCAGTGTATGAGCAGTCAGTGCTCAATTCTGGAATCTGCTTGCTCCTCATCTAGGTTTTAGTTTACAGTGTTCCACAGTTAATTAAAAGAGTGAGAAGGGGTCCAGCAAATTAATCACTGCATCATTTGGGCGAGAGTAAGGATCTTCCAGGACAGGGCTGCTCTCACCCATGGAGGACACTTGCTGCACTTAGAATTAGCTAGATTCCACACCACAGGTTCTGAATACGTCTCGTAGTGAGTTCTGTCCTCTCCAGGTGTTTTCTGGCTCTTAGGGTTCTTGCCTCTAATCTGTAGGGCTCCCTAGAACCAAAAGAATTTGGAACTGTCACTATAGCCCTAATGTAAATGTGAAATCTCTCTTCCTGTCATCAGCAGACACTGGTGAGTCTAGGAATTATCTTGTAAAAACAAAACCATGAGCGAACATCAGCACCAATTTCATGTTCTGTTCCTGACTGCCAAGCCCGAGGCTCTGCCCCTCCCACCCCTCCATGCACTCCTCTTGTTTTAAGGAAATGGATGTTTTGTTGAGGATCTGAACTTAGAGAGGCCCCCATTGAATTCCACTTTATGGTGTTGCTTTGATAATTTTTCCAGATTTTTTTTTCATTTAAACTCTCTGATTGTCTCTACCTTCCTTGACAAAAGGCAGTTGGAATGGGTTTCACTTCATTCACACAGAGAACTGGGAGCCGAATGCTATTTGATCTTTGAATCTCTGAGGTTAGACAAGGAATTAGAACTATCTGAACTCTACTTTAGCCCCTAATCTTATTATTCCAAATGTGTGCTTAATAAGAAGCAGAGTCAATACCCAGGTCAGAATAAGTTCAAATGGTCTAGAATTTTTATCTCAAAATGAAGAGGTGCACAGCCCGCCCCCCCGCCCCAGGGGCTATGAAAGGATGTCAAGTCTGACCTTCACTGGGCGTTCTCTGCTTTTGCAGGTGGCACTGCGGCATGAGGACGGTGATGAGACGGCTGAGCCACCCCCCAGTGGGCGTCGGGACCGGAGGAGGGCCAGCCTGTGTTCCGGGGGCGGCGTGGGCGAGCAGCGGGGCCTGGACCGCAGGCGCAGCCGCAGGCACTCAGTGCAGAGCGTCAGGGGTCCCCTGTCGGCCCCCACCAGTCCCTGCTCCCAGGCGGCTCCAGGATTCAAGCCCAGTCAAGTGCGGGATCTCCGTGAAAAGTAAGCATTCAGTTGGAAAAGGGCGCAAAGATATGAAGGAGGGAGGCCCCAACTCCCCAGGTGCCTACCACCCCCACCCCTTGCTCCCCAGCCTCTTCTCTACCATTAAAACACCACCCACATTCCCTCGGGACTACCCAGGGCAAGGTGGCCCTGGTGACAAGCACAGATTTGTTCTTATAACCCCATGAACTCTAATTCACCCACTTGTGTTTTTATATCATTTAATATCAAAGTTAACATCTGCTTTTAAAAGCTGTGCTTTATCTAATGGAAAAGAATCCAAAACACGAAGCTTTGGCCTGGAAATGAATGGTAGGCCACCACATAAATGTGAGAGTCTTGAGATACTCATGACAATACATTGTTGAGGCTAAGTGAAATAGCACAAATCTCTGAGTTTTAATCTATTCGTGCATAAATATAAAATATATAATTGTATATACATATAAAGTTTCAGTAAATACAAATGCCATCACTTAGTCAGTCATACAGCAAGCATTTTTAGTAAGTGTCTATTATAGGCCAGGACTGTTTGAAGCCAAGAAGAGATGTGATTGGAAAGAGGTGATCTCTGTCCATAGGAACCTCACATCTGGGCTGGGAGAAAGAAAGAATGAGGAAAGTCGATAGGAAGAAATGGATAGACTGACAATTTCATGAGAAATTGTGCATATTAAAAATATAAAGTTTGACAAAAGCCAAGGGAATGCAGAAGTGGTTCCGTAAAACACAGGTGCAGCAAAAGGATGGCCATGCTGCCCTGGGGCCTGGGGCCAGTTCTGTCTTTCCGATGCTGTCAGTTTACTAGGATGATGGGGTTCTATGGACCAGTCCATGCTGACCTGGTCCCCTGGGCTGATACACTAATGCCAGTGCCCCTCTTCTTGCTACCCAGGGTGGAAGTCCTGCTCATTTCATTTGGGTGGAGCATTTTCCCCATCATGGAGATCCACCTGGAGCCAAAAGTAGGTCAGGAGGCTGCATGGTGGACAAGAACAAAACTCAGAATAAGTTGGGTGATCCTAAGAGAGTGATCAAGATATGTTTCTTCCTCTCCATGCCTAAGGAACCACCCACCCCCTTGGCTACCGAGAAGTGCCCTGAGTGGTCTGATATTCACAGAATCACTTAACCGATGAGCCAGCCCATGCCTTTGGGTGCCTTCTCTTGCAGGTGGAGGAGGGCATTGGTCTGGGAGTGATGTGCAAGACACTGTCCGTGTTGACACCCTTCTCTACCATAGGCCTCTAGCTACAGGTTTTTCTGTTTCTGAGAGTCTGTGTACAACAAGCTCTATTTTAGTGAAAAGAATACCAGAACTTCTAAACAGATTGATGAAAAAGAACATCTACTGTGGACATTGCACTTTGTGATTAAGATCTTCAAGAAACTCAGGCAATGTTCAAAAGGCCCTTGAAGCTCTCTCTAGCTCTGCTTCTAGTTAGTTAACTTTTGAAAAAATCAACATGGAGAGAGTCGAGGAAAGTGTTCACAATGGGCTGAAATTAAACCCACCAAAGATGCTGAGGGTAAGAGGTAGGAGACCTTGTCAGCAGCACTTGGTGATCTTTTACTTGTGTAAACATGACTTGTGTCATGTTCGTTCCTGTTCTGTTTCTTGCTGTTACACTTTTCAGAGGTCCCTATGTTGTGAGTTCAGGCAACAGTGCCCTGTGATAGGTAACGGCAGTGGAGTGGACCATCCTGGGCAGCATTCCCAGTTTTGAGGCGCTGGGCTGGGTGGGATCTGGAACAGGGAGGTCACAGACGCTGCTCTCAGTGCTGCTGTCCCAGTCTTTTCGACAGGGATGCTTTTTCATTTTACTGAAATTATTACTTTCATGTACATTTTGTAGCATTTATTTGAGAAAAATACATTTTCTAGCTTGTAAAGGCAGATAAGGTTGTTTTTTAAATTTTGTTTTATTGCTTAAAGTATTACAAAGAGTATTACATATGTCTCCTTTCCCCCCCCTTGACATTCCCCCAGCCTCCCCTACCCCCCAGTGTCTTATGTCCATTGGTTATGCTTATATGCATGCATACAAGTCCTTCGGTTGATCTCTTACTGCCCCCTCCCGCCCCCCAACCCTCCCCAGCCTTCCCGCTGTAGTATGACAGCAGATAAGGTTTTACATGTTGATGATTACGATGTGGCTTCATCCATAAGGCCTGTTGGAGGGATTTTGCTTCATGGCCCCAAAACAACAGCACGATTTTGGCAGAGCTGGGAGTGGGATAGAGGGAAAGGGTAGCGAGAAGCAAAGTTGGAAAGGATCTCTGCATGCATAGCTTAGTCACCTGCTCAACATCTGTACCATTACCTTGGTACCAAGTAATCCATTGTGTTAGATTCCCTGTAGACCCTGAAAGACACAGAAGCATGCCTGACCTAGATTACTCTCCATCTACCTGAATGTTCTGGCCCAACGAACTGCTAACTTGTAGCAACATGTCCTCATACGCCACCCAGGAGGAATCTCAGGCAGGATTTTATATCTCTGTAACCCAGCCAATGCTGACATTTTTGAAAAGAAGATAAAAATGTTAGAGTCTAGAAAGAGATTCATGATGTCCTAAAATGTATATGTCAACCTGCCCTCAGATGGCCCTTCTACATCATGTGACCATTACATCATTTAACTCTCACAAGGACCCAGACAGGACAGGTGTCATCCTCACTCTACAAGTGAACAAGCAATCGGGGTTGGTGCCTTGAGACGAATCACAGGACTAGGTGGCTGAGCCATGGATTAAATCCAAGCTGTGGGTCTTTGCCTTTCAATGACTGAATTGGACAAAACCACTTCCCAACTAACCATTCTTAACATAGTCATTGAGTGAGTTTACCCTTCTGATTTTTTAGAGAGGGTATTTGATTTATATGTCATACTGGTGTGTTCCCATTGAGGATAATAAAACTTCAAAGAGAGTTGAAAAGGAGAAAAATCTCCAAGTCTCCTTATAGACTTAGGCCTGCTAGGCTATGTGTGCTGTAATCCTAAGGACTGATAAGACTCAAAATTCATATTGCTTTGTTTTGGTTTCTGAAGAAATAGAGACTAAACCTCATCAAACACTTCCCAAATAAGATATGAGTTTATTGGTCATCTGTCACCTAAAAGTATCCTCGTGATTGTGTTTCATCTTTGTACTTAAATTTGGGGAGAAAAAATGTCGGTACTTTTCATTTTTTCCCCAAGAAAATTTATTTGTAGCATCTAATTAGTAAAAGAATGAGAGTTTCTGGTTTAAATGTAATAGTATATAATCATAGGACTAACAAGTCTTCAAGGTTGTCTGGCCCTGAGCAGGGCCCTCTCTGTGCACTCCAGGCTCAGGCTCTCTCCTTCCCGGGGCACCCTGTTCTATCCGGGATTTTTCTGCTTGTTAGGACAGTCATCTGACCTCAATTTGCTCCATAATGTTATAGCTCTATTACTGCTTAGAATTCCATTCTATGGATAAAATTTCCCCATAACATTTTCTTGTTCATCCTGGTTCTCACCTCTGTCAGCAAACACCAGGTCTTGGTCCTGCTCTATATGTCATTCTTTTTTTTTTTTTAAATATATTTTATTGATTTTTTACAGAGAGGAAGGGAGAGGGACAGAGAGTCAGAAACATCGATGAGAGAGAAACATCGATCAGCTGCCTCCTGCACACTCCCCACTGGGGACGTGCCCGCAACCAAGGCACATGCCCTTGACCGGAATCGAACCTGGGACCCTTGAGTACGCAGGCCGATGCTCTATCCACTGAGCCAAACCGGCTAGGGCTATATGTCATTCTTTCTGATCACGAGCATTGTGTGGGACTTAGTATATGCACTTTCCATTTCATCCTGTTGATTTCCACACAACATTCCAACCCGTAGAGGTAATGTCGAACTTCCTTCAGTCACTGATGTTAGTAGTTGTGCCACCCAGCTGTCAGGCTTGTATGTATTTTAGTACACATGGCGCAGAAACCTGGCAGGTTATAGATGATGGCAGCTGATTGGGAGTGGATGGTACAGACTACTGCCACATGCCTCAACGGCAAGGGTAGCACACTTCCTCTGTCAAGGGGCAGATGGTAAATATGTTAGACTTTGGGTTGCGACTACTCAGCTGAATTCTGCCTTTGTAAAAGCAGCTGCCATCAACAGGTAAGCAAGTGAGCATGACTGCATTCTAGCGAAACTTTATTTATGGGCGCTGAGATTGGAACGTTACGTGTCATGAAATATTCTTTTAAATCCCTCACCCCCCAACCATTTCAAAATGTGAAAACCATTCTTAGCTGCTAGACTGTATATAAGCAGATGGTAGGCTCAGATTGGGCGTACAGTGGTAGCTTGCCAATCCCTGTCCTGGCTTGTTGAGGGAAGTTGGGAGGGAAATGGCCTGGAATCGGCAAAGAGGAGTATGTGGGGTCTGAGAGAAGAACCCACCATGCTATGGAGAGGTCTGTAGAGAACAGCATCCTTAAGTTCAGGGTTAGAACAAGGAGTGAAGAGATCCTGGCTAGAAGGGATTTGGCTGATGGTTGCTCATGAGTTTCCACAGCACAGTGGAATATTGAGGTAGGTACTATTATTATCTCCATGTGATAGGAGGGGAAACTGAGGCATGAAGAGTTGAAGTGTCTTGTCCAGAATCCCACAGCTAATATAGGGCGGAGCTGACTTTAGAGTTCAGGAGGTCTGGCTTTGTAGTTCCCATCCTTCACGATTTTATTAAACAATCCCCTCTTTCCCCCTGTGAATCTGTAGGTATAAAACAAATTTACTGTGTACTTGGCATTAGGAATTCATAAATGCATGTTGCCATCTTTTTATATTATTAAGTTTAGATTTTTCATGTCAGTACATTAAAAAAAAGCATTGCTTCGTGTTCCATTGTATGGAAATACCTTCATTCATTTTGCTATGGCTTGATTCCCATTTTTCTGTAGTACCAAACTTGCTGTGATACACACACACACACACACACACACACACACACACACACGTTTGTGCACATGTTAGCATTCTTTCTTGAGAGATTTTTACAAGTAGAATTCTAAATCAAGGACACAGACATTTTAAATATTGAAATCGCCACGTTGCTCTCTGTGACGGCTAATCCAGTTTGCCCTCCCACCATCCGCATGTGACCACTCCCCACACCATCACCAGCACTGGATGGTACAAGTTTTCTGAAGTTTTGTGATTCTGAAAAGTGCAGTGTGCCTTGGCATTGCCATTTGCATTTTTGATTACTGCTGAGGTTGTTCGTCTTCACTTAGTTCATCAACTATTGACCTTTTCTTTTCTGAGTAGTGCCTGTTTGTTTCTCTGCTCATTTGTGTCCTGCATGGTGTGTCCTTTTAAAGTGATGAATAGCTACTCTTTGTTTTTAATACGGAAACTTTCAGATATAAAAGCAGAGAGAACATAAGTATTCTGTGTACATTATAGATAGTAACTCTTTGACAGCTATGTCACAAATATTTTTTCCCTGTCTTTCAAATATCTTTTCATTTAACTTATGGTGCCTCTTGATGTATGCACAAAATATATTGCTAGCGTGTCCAATCTGTGAGTCTTTTCCTGTGTGGCTTTTAGATGTCATGTTCTCTCAGGACAGTGTGTCCCCTTTCTAACTGCAGTCTCCCTGTGTTGTCCTGGGCGAAGGCTTTGCAGTTCTTTCACCCTCTGAGATAAGTAGGAGGAGCAGTAGCGACAGCAGGAGCCAGCATTATGGAGCACCTTACTTTGTGCTGGCTATTGTGCTCGGCAACTTTACACATGTTGTAAATCCCATGAAGAAGGTGGCAGTGTCTTCCCGTTTCCAGATGAGGAAACTGAGGCACAGAGAGGTTAAAGGACTTGCCTTAGATCTCACGGGTGGGAAGTGGCACAGCTGGGTTTGACCCCAGATGGCCCTCATCCAGAGCCTGCACACACTCAGAACCAAACACGCCTGGAGCCAGTCTCTGAGCCTATAGAATGTTCTCAGTAGTAACGCTTTTTTCTCTTTTGAGGATGAGTTAGATTTGTTGAGAAAGCAAAACATCACGCAGAGCAAATGTTTACTGGAGCTTGGAAATTCTAATGAGCTGTGTTGTGTATAGTCACTGCTTGACTTTGATCCTGAAAGAACCATCCTGATTTGCTTGTTTTTCTCATAAATTGGCACTGCAGACGGTTCCTAAAGAGGAGCTCCAAAAGCATCAGAGCAGTCATTGCAGCATTGGGGCAAGCCTTCAGCTGCACACAGCAAACC